TTTTAACCAAAAAAAAATTTTTTTTTTTTTTTTTTTTTTTTTTAATCTCTAAGAAAAAAAAAACAGAGAGTTTTCTGGCATTTAGTAATTCCAATTACACTAAAGCAAGAAAAGTTTGGTCTGGTGTAACTTCAGACAGTGAGGAACAAACCTATTTGTGTCTTTTTATTTGGTGTATGTAAACCTCTGGTTTCAGCTGACCCATCTGTTCAACTGTTCGCCCAGAAGCTGAGGACGTGTGAAATGACTAATGCTCCTTGAGCTTTCAGTGTTTCTTAAACTTCTTGTGTTTTCTGTTCTTGATGTTGCTGTTGCTGTGTGTATGGCATTTACCTCCCTGTCCACTTTTTAACCATCACTTTAAAAAACTGATTATTAGACCCATCGAATAAATAGGCAGGGAGGATCTTCAAACCTCACAGGAGCTTAGCCCTTCTTTGTTTTCAAAGAGGAACAAACAGTCTCATTTTACATCTAAATTCACCTTTTTTGATCGTTACCTTGTCTTAACGGTGAGTTTCTCTTACTGTGTGTAAAAGTTTCTCCTTCTGCTTTGCTTCTCCTCGTCCCCAGATCATCTTCTGTCTGAATCTTTCCCCGGTCCGGACTGTGACTCTCCGGACGTTGGCCGTTTGCATAACAACAATCTGCCGCCGCGCAGCAACACTTTGCCTATAACTAAACCCAGTCAATCCCACCAGCCCCATCCAAGGACAAATCTGCAGTCGCCCCCTCAGGTCGACACCCTCAAAGCTCAAGGACCCTCGGGCCCCTCAAAACGTAGACTCTTTGTTGAGCGAAGCCTCTCCTCAGAGGACCCACCAAGTGCCAGAGGCTCCGAGGGGAGCGCTGCTCTGAAGCCACCCAGGGTGTACACAATAACCAGAGAAGGTGGGATGACTCTTGGGGACTCCGGAAGCGAGGAGACTGTAGAGTTGGAGGTACTGAAGGGCCCCAGGGAGCACCCAGGCTCCCAACCCTCCAACCCCGCCATCTATAGCCTGTCCTGCACCAGCCAGCCAGCAGCTACAGCTGCCCGAGGCAGCCACCACCGCAGTAACCACCATCGCGCTAGCCATCACCATGCCAACCAGCAACAGGTGGGGCCCTCATCATCCTCAGAACCTCTGCAGAGCTCAAGGAGTGCCAGCAACATTGGTGACTGGGGGATGAGGAGAGGCGGCTCCAGGGAGGACTACAGTCCAGACTGCGTGGCCTGCATCCGAGCGCCGTGCCAAAGCCAGAGGTCACTGGACCTGGACACCTCGCCACGGGATGGAGGGAAGCCCCGCAAGAAGCTGGAGAGGGTGTACAGCGAGGACAGGACGTCCACTGACGACAGGGGTAGAGAAACATTGTTAAATGATTGAGTAGAAACGAAGTGGGCAAAGACAGACTGTTTTCGTTCCATTTAGTTCTGAACAATTTGTGCTAAATTTTTACAAGTTTTGCCCAAGAAGTTAAGTTATTCTCAAATATTAATGACTTTAATGATTTAAACCAACTTCAGTTTGTAAATCATCCTCAAAGTCAGGAAGCCAACAATAACAGCTTTACCGTCTGAAGGTTCAGGAATTTTCCAGATTTTGATTTAAATCCAGGTAAAAAGTACGACAAAGTTCGATTCAGTGATGAAACAACTCTGTGGCAGGACTCTTTTTACTTCCTTCCTTCTTTCATCCCTTTTTCCCCTGCTTTCTCTGTGTCTTTCTTTCTTCCAAGCAGTTGAAATTCCCCCCCCCAAAAAAGATTTTTGATCAAAACATTCTGTAAATATGCCTGAAGTAGAAGTAGTGCTTTATCCACTCCAGCCTCAGAGTTACACACAAATTCTTAAAGTGATAAATCCATGCATGCATAAACACACATACATACGTAAACATACACACATACTGTGTGCACAGTATATGCACAGATACACATGCATATGTATACCTGCAGCAGTTTATGCAAGAATTTAGTATTGTTAATATGTAAAGTGCTGTATAAATGAGACAGCTACAACAGCAAAAGCAATTTGAAGGAGTTTGAAAAATGAAGCAGTGCTAAACTACTAAAGCTGCTGCATGCGCTGTCATCTGAGCTTCCGTCACGTCAGCTGGAAATAACAAGAACCACCTGAAAAAAAATGGGTTGGCATTGTATTAACACACAACAAATTGATGGTGAATCGTCCCAAAGCAAGTGCTTATCCAGAGGTGCTCCCACCTACTGATGATTCATTCAACAATGCATCTGATTAGCAGGATGAGAGCGCTGCCTACCCGCCTCTGGATGCAGGATCCATAGGTTCAGTTTTAACACGCTGCTTCAACAAAGTCCTGGTGTTGTGTGTGTGTGTGTGTGTGTGTGTGTGTGTGTGTGTGTGTGTGTGTGTTACCGTGATGTCTGGTGTTCTTCTTGTGCTTTCTCACTATTCTATAGGGGCATACATGAAAGTTTCACTTTTCACTGCCATCCTCAGCTGATTGTAAGCCTTGTGTTAAATATACCCTCCTCTCTGACTCATCCCCTTCCTTTTGTTCTCCGTCTCCACAGAGAACGGCTCTAATAGCTGGTTCCCCAAGGAGAACATGTTCAGCTTCCAGACAGCCACCACCACCATGCAGGCGTGAGTACAGCCAGGAGTCCGCCTCAACCCGCACTCCGTGCCGGGGCCGGGCGACGGGAACGTGAAGTTTTAGCACAACGTTTTATGGCACTTTTGTGATATCGATAAAAGTGATGATAGAAGTATTTCTTACTTCTTCTTTTAGGTAACGGTGCAGCTGTGACTGCATGGCACAGCAGTCACAGCCTCACAAGCACAAATAATACTCTTGAAAAAACACCAATCAAAAAAATCAAATGGATAAATCACAATCTTATTAAAATGATCAGAATAAATGATGAATGATACAATAAATGCCCACCCTTACTGCTGTGCCTTACTGTCATTTTTGCACATTTTTGTTAGAACTGTCATACATTTTGTAGCAATTTTGAGCTTTGAATTGTTTATTTGAACCATGTTTCTGTTTTAGTTAAGGTGGATTTTTAAAACTGTGAACTGGGTGAACAGATTTGTGGTTTTTGGGGGAACTCTACACCGAGTCCAAATTCTGAATCACACTGAAATATATAAACATCGACTGAATGAAAAGTGGGACTGTAGGTCCTTTAATGTCTAATGTAGGACCAACTTTTCCGAATCCATTCTTAACAACAGCTTATTCCAAGATCATAAGTTTATATATATAAAAATGTAGATGGATATGTTATAACTCTGCCAAAAATGACAGAAAACTTTCATGTTTTTGTTGTTTTAGAAAAAAAACTTGACAAAATAAAAAAGCAATATTCAAAATTACATTCTATGCTATACATTTACTGACAAATAAAGACACTCACTTGTTCACATATGCCTTGTAGTTGGTGGATAATCATCGCCTCTCATTCTGATCTAATAATTACCACTTACAAACAGCTCCCCCCCCACCCCCCCTCTCCCTCTCACACGCCCTCATTTTCTCTGTCCGTATGTCAGTGTCTCTCTGTCCTTTTTCTGTCTGCCTCCATCTGCTTGTCTCCTTATTTGGGTCAGACTGATGTATGGTTCTGACATGGCCTCTGATTGAAATGGCTCGGCCCTGTCTCTCATCTCCACATGATGGGTGTGTCGCCGTTTTATTGACCACATCGTCATCGATCAAAGTATTAGTCTTAACGGCCTGCCCCCTAATGTGAGCTGACAGTAACAAAGTTTTTGCTGTTCCTAACTTCTTTCAGTCTTCACTGGCAATCGGTTATTTGTAGTACGGTGAGAACTGAAACGTATATCAGTCCTTGAAATGTGTGTGGAATATTTTAGTTGACCCTGTTGCTGACTTCTCCTATATTTTTTTTTCTTCATCTCTTTTTTCTTCCCCCTCTGTCTGGCGGCCTTCCAAACCTCGACTCTAGCATATCGTGAGTAACCCTTCCAAACGCCTCCACTGTTTTCTCTTGCTCCTCTGCCTTTTTCCTCCTATGTGCTGCAGGTTAATGTCCTGAACCTTTTTCCTCCTTTGGTTTTGTGCTATGCTGTCTGCTCTGTTCCTCAACCCCCACAACCGTTAGCGTCTGCAGGACTGAGCCCGTGATGTCATAGATTCAGTAATGGGGATCGGCTGCAGTGCAGGGAAGGTGCAGTGCAGTGGGAGTGATGGGAGAAGCCCTGAGCATTCAGCTGCACCCAGCAGAGCCTGAGTGTGGCCAGGCATGAGTCAGAATGCGGACATGTCTGACAGCAAGTGCCACTAAGCTTACAGATCATAAACTAGTTCAGCTAACCCCATTAGTCTATCCAGCCATCATGAAAAAAATCAACTTGATAATCAAACCTCTTCATCTGTTTTCGCTGAATCTGAACAGGCGATGTTTTCCTGGGTTCAACATTTTTAAACAAAAAAGAAAGAGTTGGAGCGATGCTGAAAATGGTTGGAAAAAAAATTACACTCATTTATTTGACTTTACATTGTTGTAAACACAACAATGCACCTGCATTCATTTCACTGTTTACTCTAAAAGCTCCCAGAACAGATCAGTGATTCTGAGCAGCACCAGCTCACAACTGGATGAAGGTTGGAGAAAAAACATGACTGTGGTGTGAGCAGATTTCTACCTAACAGAGTTTAGCTTCTGGAAATGACTAATTTAAAAACAACGACTAACAGTTTTACCTGTGAGTTACTGATCACAGACCCATTCATTAAATGAGAATATTATTTAATGAATCAGTTATTTCAGTAACTCCAACACCAAGTGAAGCATTTAATATTGATTCAATACAGACTGATGTTTTCAAAAATTTACTTTTGTTATTTATAATTATTTTCTACTTAAAATAGAAACATGATATTTAAGCAAAAGCATTTTTAATACGGTAATATATGTTGGAGGCTAGTGTCTGCAGTGATTGTAATAAAAAAAGGTTTAACTTGGTTAGCAATTCAGTAGAGCTGCATCTAGCAGTATTCAACTATTCCATCAATTATTCTGACGATTAATCTATTTATTGGCTAAAAATAATTGACACATTCTGCTGATTTTTCATTAAACCACTTTTTAATACAATATTAGAAATACATGAAAAGATATGAATAAACAGTTTATTTTTTAGTTAAAAAAACATTTTATTTCCCTAAAATGCAACAGCATTCCTTTAGACTAGAGAACCCGGTAACACTTTATTTGAACGGAGGTGAATAAGACTGACATAACACCTGTCATTATTATCATTATGTCATTCATAACACATGAATAAGCCTTCATGAATATTTATGACTGTTGTCATAAAGCGTCATTCGGTAAATTATGACACTTTTAATACAAAGTTGACATTATTCAAAATGTCTTTGTTATGACAACTTGACATTAACCAAGAAATCATTAATATCATTGATATAAATTTGTTATAAAAGTATTACTGATTGCACTTTAAAAATTAGGTATCTTTAAGTTATTAAAGGTAAAGTTTAAACAGTAATGATTTCCTGGTTAATGTCAAGTTGTCATAACAAAGACATTTTGAATAATGTCAACTTTGTATTAAAAGTGTCATAATTTACCGAATGATGGAAAGGATGTGACTGCAGCTAAAAAAACTAACAAACAAAAACTTCTAACATCAACATGTGAAAAGCTCAGACTGAACATCTATACAGTATAGGGCTCATGTGTTGACTATTTTTTGGATTAACTGATTAATAATTTGATAGTAAAAAGTGTTGAAAAACAGGCTAAAGCTAACCAGAGGCGTTCATAATTACAGACAACGAAGGTTGTTTTTATGTTAAATGGCAAATGTATATATTTTGTAACTTCAGCTTCATTACTTCTCTAACTGTGTTGTTCTTTCACCAAATGAACTTTTTTGAGTCTTTATAATCCATTTAATGATTAATTGATTACCAAATTATTTGACGATTGTTTCAGTAATTGACTAATAAGATTAATCATTTCAGCTCTACACTTCACACAGTAGACTTTAACTCTGTTTTTTAATTATCATTTTTTATCTGTATATGATAACACACTGTTTATGGCTAACACATTCCTTCTTGTCTATTATTATTTCATCCTGATATAATATGACTTATCACTGCCAAACATGTAGCCTACCGTCTTCTAGGTTTAAGTTAAAAACGTTTCAGAAAACTCAGCAGACAGTTTTACTGCAGAGTCTAGCTACAAAAAAATGTATCATTATCCAGCCTTTAGGATGGAGGATCTCCAGCCAAATGTTTAATCAGTCTGCATTAGAACGTTGTACATTCTGAGTGTCTGGTTTGGCAGGTGGAGGAGGGAACAGGGAATGAGTTCATGTGTGAAAGAAAAGTGATGTAACAGCGATGAACAGGCGGAGCTATGGAGGATTACAGATAATAGGTGGCACACAGAGCTAAGCGACTTTATTTTTCCTCTCACTGCTCATCAGCTGTCTGTCTGTCTGTCAGTCAGTCAGTCTGAACCAGGCCCATAGGACAAGGCTGATGATTTCCTGACACAGGCTGTCACAGCCCATTCCCCCGATGGCTGCCGTGTTGTCAGAGCCGTTATTGTCCCTCTGCCCTCCGTCTCTCCCACGTCGTCCAACGCTTGAAATAATATGAAATAATGCTCATTAAATTTGAGCTCACAAAAAAGATGATTTCTTACAAAGGAATATTTGATAACTCAACACCAGCAGTGGGTAATTATTACCAGACATGAAGTGTTTCATACAGAGTGAGTGAATCTGAACAGCGAGTAGGGAGGATGTGCTGTTTCCTTAGTTTCTCCTTTACTGTCTCTTCTTGTAGATTCCCGTGGTGCATTGTGGTCCATGCGTGTCTGTGGTTAATGTATGGTCTGTACAAGAGAGTATCCATGGTGATAAAACATTGCTCTTTTGCTCAACCCTTGTGAAAAGTTAACCAAACCTTTACTGACTCCAAACCTCTCCGACTAAACACATTTTCTGCTTTTCCATCCCACCTCGGTAGCTCTTCATGCCCGAACCCAACTGGACTCAAAGGGTCACGTTTTTACATTTCTGTGACTGTACTTCAGCCAGATCGATCAAAAATATGCTCCAGCTTTAGAACCAAAAATGTATCATAGGCATATCGGTTAAAGTTTCTCTGCGGTAAAGCAGATACTTTCTATAAACACTCTAACCCCTTGGGTCAGTTTGGGTTCAGACAGAAATTCTTGAGGGTAACTAAAAAAAAAATATTACTTAGATTCCCCAACGAACCGTCTTAACCCTTTGACGTCCTGGCAGGGCTTTTCGTGGCATTGCTGAGCGAAAGAGACGGAAAAGAGAGCAGGAGACTGCCACCATGATGGAAAGGTACTGTGTCTTGGCTGTCCTGTCCTGTCTGGTGCTGAACCGTACCTGTGAAAGTCGCCCTATGTTACAACAACTTAATACTCTGTTGAGTTAGCTTCAAGCACCGTCGACCACGGGAATAACAATTGAATGAATAAGACTGTAATAATTTCTAGGCAGTAATAGAATAGAATAGAACTCTCAATCAACCTTGTGTACATGCTGCTCAATGTTCTAATAGTGGAAAAACAACTTACCGTTACAGGAAAACCATTTCTCTGACATCGGTGACTGTGCTGACTAGCTTAAGCATTCATGGCAGGCAACCAGCTGTAGCATAGCAGAGACCAAAGGGAAGGTTGTGAGCTGCACATACACAGGAGTGATTGACAGCCTGGAAACCCTCCTTCTCTGATTAGTTGTTTCTGGCTGAGTGGTGTATTTCTGCAGTTAGTACTGAGAGCACTGGGAGAAGACAGTGGAGCTTTTCACAGATCATCTGTCTTACTACAAACTGTCACGACATGATGGCAACTTTAACAAATATGTAAAAAAACATATATGAATATCTATATAAAGGTTACATATTGCCCCTGGCCTGAGCCTGTGACTCTGTCTGCTCTATAGGATGTATTTGCCTGGGTTTGGCCTTGTGGTTCTCCATGTGATGCTCTTCCACCATGTTTCCTGACAGGTTTTGTGTTGTTTTGGGCAGTTGGTTCGTTGCCTGTTATCTTGCTGCTGTGGTGCAGCCCCTGATAAGATATCTGGTGTCAATCCCACTGTGTTGAGGAATTGTAGGTCCACCTTCAAACAGGGATGGAAGATGTGACTGAAAAACTTATCATGGTATAAATGTTTCATATCAGTCAATATCGATACTTGTCAACATTGATAATAATTGATTAGTTTTTTTGTTTTAGATCTCCAAAATATTGAGTGGCATGACCTTTGTTGTATTTTTTTTAAGCAGCTGTGAGATTTGGTGGAGAAACTCAACAGGTAGTTGCTAGGTAAACCATGAGTGTGTGAGTTAGTTGATGCCACCAACCTTGCTTAGCATCTACTTTCAAGCAGGAAAGATTGAGCCTTTCCTCTTCCTACATCTCCCAGAATGCTGTGTAGTTTCGGATAATAGTTATATAATTATATAATATATGTATAATTATACATATATTATTATGTATAATACATAATAATTCACCCCGCCTCTCGCCCGGAACGTTAGCTGGAGATAGGCACCAGCACCCCTCCCGACCCCACTGAGGGACAAGGGTGTTCAGAAAATGGATGGATGGATGGACATAATAATTCTATGTATTATACCTTCCTACAGTAACGGTCTATGTCATTTTGTGTCATAAGTGATTTGGCCAAAAATAATCCCTTTTGACAAAAAATGTCTCATATATCACCTTCCTATATCACTTTAGGAAGTGATATATCAAATGTTCTATTAAATGCATTAGCAAACAGAGTAATGCATTTTGATCACATGTCTTTGACGACAGATATTGTTATTGATTTATTGTCCAGATGTTTTATTCTCAGTTAAAGCTTTCCTTTGGTGAACATAACATCATGAATGTGTTTCAGTCTGGGTTTAAAACTCTTCACTGACAGTTTATAATGACATTCTCCTGGCTTGTGCCTGTAGCGACTCCACAATCACAATACTTTACCCAGCGAACAGAAGCCAAAGTCCGGTATCTTATTTCTGCTGTGAAGTGCTAAGAATGGGTTCAGCATGTTTTAATCGTTGTTTCTCACCAAACACTGATCTGCTACAGCAGTCTGTCAGCGCGTTGCTGCGGCTCTGTGCTCTGCGGCTGGCACTCTGAGGGAACAAATCTGCCAATATTTGGCTGGAGATTCCACATCCACCAAGGCCTGAGACACACAGCGCAGCGTTTACTTTAGTATGAGGCTCATTTGCTTTTCCCTGAGTGTGTGCTGTCACTCAGAATTCAGGGCTTTATGTGAGAAAATGTACACGTCACAGAGTTTCCATAATGTGGGAGAGGCAACAGTTGGATAAAAGAGAAAGTAGAGATGTGGCTGCAGATGTATTTGGATTGAGATTATTGTTTGGAATAATTGTTTGGCGGGTGTGATGTTAGGGATTGTTGTCGCTCAGCATGAAAATACAGTTGCAGCAGACTGATGGGTCCCCTCTCCTGTGAGTCATCTCTCTATTTTAGGACCTGCCTTCACGACCCCTGCAGTCAGCTCTGACATCTCAACTTCTCTTCTTTTTTTTTTTTTTTTTTTTTTTTTTGTTTGCAACCTAAATTAAAGCTGTGCAGTGAGGAGAGTCCTCATACAGGCTTCAAATTCCACATGTTATTGCAAAACCATGTTCATTTTAACCTGCACACATTTAGGCTACCATTTTTGCATTATTAAAGGGGTGTATAGTGTATTATCTAGACAGGCAGTGACATTTTGACCACAATCAAACAACAGCTGCTACTTTCACTTGTTATTTTCTTTTATAAATAAATGCTGTTTGTAAAAGGAATTTGGCGCCTTGAAATTTGGCATCTGACTTTTTAAGAAGCTCCTGCTCTTTCCTACACTTAGCCTTCAGCATGCTGTCACAACAATGCTCCTCCATTTTGTTTACTACTGTTCTTTGGAGTGTTGGACTGAGAAGTAGTTCCTATGATGAGCTCATTAGACTTGCAGTTCCACCCGGTGTTTGTTACTGCTGCTGCTGCTGCTGCTGCTGCTAGTCTGAAGGAGCTGAGTTAGGGAGTTATGAGGGTAGGGGGCTCTGAGGGGCAAAAGCTCCAAGGAAGGGCTTTGTGGAAAAGCTGGCGCTTTGTGGAAAAGCCAGCGCTTTGTGGAAAAGCCGGCGCTTTGTAGGAGCAAGCGTTTAGGCACCCCCGAAATGGTTGCCATGGGAGATTAAACGATTTCTCAAACACATTTGCACGAATCTAGGCAACATTCCACTTGCGTTTTTAATGAGGGAATAACATGATAACATGATGTAAGGATTATAAATGTTGATTTTACACAATACTTCCCCTTTAAGTTAGAAAACCAACACACCTGTATGGCAAAAGCTCTGGTCAACAGGGTGCAGAGGTCGGGCTCATTAAAAATAACGAGCTGTGGGGCTGGGACCTGCCACATCAAGTGTCACACACCTCATCACAGCAGCAGATGCTTCACCTGAAGACAGACCTTCTCCTTTAATAACCTGCCTTCACAGAGGAGTTTATTTGCTTCTATTTTCTAGATGTTAATGAAATAATTTCACTAAGGGAATCATAGCAGGGCAAGAAGATATACAAAACAGAACATTTATCAGTGTGTAAATAAAAAAGAAGGAAATAAATGAAGAACAACAAATATGCTTCAGATATGCAACTTATGTTGTTTCTCTATGTTGAGCTTATTTTGCTGTGAGTTCATCTATGAAGGTTCCTCAGCTGACTAAACACACTTTAACACACTAACTAGGGCAGCAGCGGCTAATGCCGCTGGACACACGTGGAGAGGACCCCCGTTCGTCCTCTCCACAAGAGGTTCATAGCATTAAACCAGAAACTGTTACAATCCCTGTTTTCTATGCACATTTTGAACTTGTATCTGACACAGTGCTGTAGTCAGAGTTCACACTTATTTACTTTGTCCATGATTTATACTGGTGTTTTAGCATGTTAATGGACAGCTGGGGAGTCAGAGAAGGTCATGTTAGAAACAAGAGTTCTGCTGGACCTCTCTGACCTCTAAGTCTTTTCATCCTCTTGTTTTTCAGAATATTCCCATTTCAGTTTCTTTCGTACATTTGTGACGTTTCTCTTTTGTTCTTTTTCTTACACTTGTAGAAATTTCCGTAAACACCTCAGGATGGTTGGCAGTCGCAGGGTGAAGGTCCAAAGTAAGTCATTGAGTCTGTTTGGAAGAACGTCTGTTGATGTCAGTTTGTTTGCGTCCGTTTTCGCTGTGATTTACACCATAACATCAGAACAGATGCTCATCACACTTAATTCATGCTTTCTGCATCGTACAGCACAGTCATGGCCTGAAGGCGTAGGCAGAGGCAAAACCGTTGTTTTGTTTTGTGGCTAAAACCTTTTTAGCTTGTTATATGGAACTCCATCCATGCTTAAACATACATCTTCACCAAACCGCTTCTGGATTGTTGAAGGAAGTTTGCTCACCACAGAGTTCTTTGACAGAATGTAGAAGCTTCTGTCTGGAAAACACAACATTTGTGTCACTGCAAAAACGTCTGGCCATGACTTTTACTTCAGCATGTTGGGACGGATCATTTTGTAATTAGGAGCTTAGTCCTTCCTAGTGATGACTGTTTGGCATCAGTCTAGACATTCAAGTGTCTTGATTGGTCTACAGTACCGGTGTCTTTCTGTGTGTGGCTCCTGTCATTAATATTGATTATGTATTCCAACTTCAAGTCCCTTTTATTTGGCAGCATGTAAGACATGTCAGAGCAGTTTAAATATAGTCTTTTTGTTGTTTTCTCTTTTACTCTGGTTTATGTGTATTTTGTAGTTTCTATGAGGTATTCATATCAAGAAAACTATGCTATTTAAAAACTAATGTTTATTTAAAAAGCTTTATTTTTGAATTTAGTGTGAAACTAACCCATTTCAGCCTCCTCAAAAAGCCTCTAACTGCAGCTTGCATGTTTGGGCAGAGTCAAACATTTGTCTGTCCCTGATTTCTTTTACAAAACTAATGGTGAATTTTTAATTTTGATTTCCTATATTAGTGTCCTGCCATTAAAAAAGTTTGTGACAAGTTTGGTGCTGACAGGGCATGGCATAGAGGTAAAACGGGTGCTAACAGAGACTATTAGTCCTCAATGCAGCCGCCCTCAGTTCAATTCCTGACCTTAAGACCTTTGCAGCATGTATTCTCCTGTCTCACTGTCTTCATCTATTTCCTGTCTGAATGCTGCAAATAAAGGCTATTTGTGCCAAAAAAAATCTTAAAAACAGAGTGCCAAGTTAAGCACCTTGAGGGAAGCCATGACTTGATGATGTATGTTATTTAGGTTGACCAAGCCTTTGCTGTATGATGCATTCATATATTTAGTAGAAAACCAACATCTGCTATCCCTTTTATCCAAGTTCAAATCATTAATAGAAGTGCTAAACAATTTTCTTCCTTTTTGGTATCTTAGTAAGCATAAAACTTTTCTAATCACTGGAAAGTTTTCCTAAGGTAGCTTGAAGTCTTGTAAAGAGTAAAAAGTTGCTTTCTATTGGACTTCTGCCAGTAGGAGGCACATTAAAATCTAAGTTGTGGGCGGAGTCAAATGTGTGAATCAGGGGCGGAGTCAAATGTTCTGGCCTGCTCATGTTTTACTTCACACCAAGCTGTCACAGACAGGGTCTACGGACCTGATCCACTACATTCGATGGATGTGGGGTACATAAATGAAAATTGAAGCAGTTTTCCTAGAAGGTTACATTTTCCTGAAGGGATTGAAAAAGGAAAATCAATGCCCTTTGAGTATTGGAGAACAGTTCAAAACCATTCTACAGTATCATTATAAAAGATCAGATACAAATTAGCAAATAGGGAAAACTCTGGTGGGAGAAAAATTCAAATAAATTCATAAATACTTTGTATGAATGTTTTGATTTTTAATGTTTTCCACACCAGCTCTTTGGCGACAAGATTATTTCACTTTGGAATCAATTAAATATTTTTTTTTATTTCATTTGAATTAAATTGAGTCTGTTAGTCTAAAACAATTTTGTAAAATAAACTATAGTAAGAATAAATTATACATTTACACAGATTTCTTAATCAGTGAACTAAGGCTCGTTTTCTGATAGTAGTTTTGTCTTCAGAATACAAAAATACGACAGTTTTATCATAAAGTGAAGAAATAAATAATACCTTGGCTATCTCCCACTGGCCTGGTGGTAATGCAACTAACTGGTGGCTGCTGGGATGAGCCCATAGTGGCAGGAGGAACTATTAAATCACTTTGATGCTCCCATTGTTTGGAATGCAGGACCAGTAAGCCTGCAGTCATCACTGATGATCATGTGTAAGTGACTCTCTTCCCCCCTAATCCTGTCAGCCTTCGTCGACCGCCGAGCCAAGAGCTTCAGCCGCTCATGGAGTGATCCCACCCCCGTCAAGCCCGAGTCTATTCATGACTCCAGAGACAGTGAGTCCATGCTCTCTCAGTCACTCCTGTTAACGAGAAGTACTTAGCTGTGCTCTCTACATGGTACACACTCTGTTATGTAGTGCTCATTTACACAGGATGCAGTATGGCTGCACAAAATCATTTGTACCCCTTGAACTTTTTCAATTCTATCCAATTCAGTTGAGTTTATTTATATAGTGTCAATTCACAACAAAAGTGGTCTCAAGGTACTTTACAAAAAATAATTCCAGTTCCATCGTATTGATTAAATTGCTCTCTCCTGTCTTCATATGATAGACAGGAGCAATATGCCTCTTGCTTGTGTTGTGTTGGCACTGAGGATGCTACCAATACTATACAGAGACTTCAATCGATAGAACTGAGAGTTTCTCAACTCTCTGTAGGTGAATATCAAAATCAACACAAGTTCTGAAAGTGAACCGACTCTACCAATGTCTCATAACAACAAGCAACTTCTGAGCACCTCAGCAAGCAGCTTGCCCTCTGGAACTGTTTCAGAACAAAGCCAAACAATAAATCTCTGACAACATGGCTACCTGGACGATAGAGGGTGGCTAACTCTGAGCCGAGAGGTCCCCTCAAATACACCTGCTACTCTGAAGAAACAACATCAAACTGTTGGAACTGACATCATTCCACCTTTCTTCACTTCGGTACCAAGGATTCATCAGCCAGCTGGAGCCATAACACATCCCATCACGTCTCCAACTGGAAACCCATTAAACTCCACTGGAGATTCACTGAAAAACAGGTTTGCTGTTCCTTAGCAGAAACTTACAAACATCAACAAGATGTATGAGACAAGATCAGCACTTCTGCCTCCAGAGTGACTTAAGAATCAAAATTTATGCCAAGTTCTTATTGTAGGTGATGAGGCAGTGAATGGAATATATGTTTTTTTGCAGTGCAAAGGTTGTCTGCATTCCAAATGACACAGTGACTGATGGGACAGAGAACATACACCCATCAGTATAGTGAGAATCTACTCACGTTGAAGACAGAGATCTGGGCAGAGAAATCAGAAATTCTGAAAAATGACTTTCAGTATCTTATTAATATAAATGAAAAACTGAAAACTGTGTCTATCAGTGGACCGATACTGAAAGCTGGACATGGAGATGAGAACTGCAGCAGGCTGCTCATGATTAACAAATGGCTTATTAAAGAATGCTCTGCCAGCTCAGTGACCTTCATTTACTGAGCTGGAAGGTCTGGAAGAGTGATTTCTGAACAGAGCAACTCTGCAGGTGGACAGAGTCGCACTTAATCAAGTTGGGAAACGACTTTTCACTGCTAATCTTTTCAATGCTGTTAACACAAGGCCTCTAACACAGGACAATGAAAACAACCAGAGCAGTGTCCTAGAACAAGCATAAAACCAGCAGGCAAAACGCATCCTCAAACAAAACAAACAAACTGATATGGCTGGACAGGAAGTTGGTGTAGATCCCTCTCCTTCAGACTGCTCATTGGAGCCTGGCTCTCCGACTGGACACAGTGCCCCCCCCACTCCATCAGCACTGGGAGTCTTTATCAGGATTGTCTGTGAAAAGATGGATCTGCTTCACCTCCGACCTGAGATATTATTGTCATCTGAAGAAATGCACCACTCCTGATCAAAAACAACCAATCAGAACCAAGAGGAGGGGCTTAGGCTTAACCCAGCCAGTCAACCTTATGCTCAACGTGCAAATGGCTGGAAAAACCTTACCAGTGCAGGAAAACCATTAATCTGCCATTATCAGTGGCAGAGCTAATTAGCTATCTCACAGTAGAGAGCCAGGGATCAGGAGGAGGTGCTAAGACCTTCCTCCTGGCTCTGATTGGTTGAAAATATTCTCAAAACAACAATATCATCATTTATTGCAATAATAGCAGGACAAATTAATGTTCAGCAAAATTGCGACAGGCTTATGCAACACCAGTAAATAAATAAATGTGATAAAACTTAAGAGTTCAAGGGGCATCAATGATTTTGCAGGGCGCTGTATCCAGCAAACTGACCAACATGCACACAGGTCAGCATGAGTTCCCACAGAGCTGCAGACGCAGCGTAAACAGAGGAACTGACCAACATGCAGCGTCCTGTAGCTCTGTCTGTCAGCGCAGTCCGCCGCCCTCATCCACACAGACATCTCCGCCCTGCAGCCTGCCGACCGTCTGCCTGCTGCTTGGTGTCACGTCTGTTTGCGTGTGGCCGGGTGCGGAAGGAGACGGCAGCCGTGTTGCTTTGTGTTGTCTGGCATTTGATTTTAACTCCTCCATTCCTTCCCCACTGTGCTGGAAAAATCAAGTAACAGGTGCAACACTATTAAAGGGTTTTCCCTTATCTCTCTCTCTCTCTCTCTCTGTGTTGTTCTTTGAACTCGCCTTTTCTTCCCGTGTGCGAGTCAGGTGGTGAGCTTCAGACCTCCTCAGGGACTCTAGATGAAGGGCTTGATGAGGATGCTGACTGGGAGGAGGAGAGGGATCTGGAGAGGGCGGCCTGCGAAGGAGACGATTTCATCCCACCAAAAATCATGGTCAATAACCTTCCAGGTTTTCTCAAATATTCATCATGTTTTCCATTCAAAGTCCTAAATCAGGAAGGTTTTGGGTTAGCAAACAGAGTAATTCAAAAAAAGTTACTCTTAAATTTGCTTTGACCCAAAATAGTATTTAGATTTATGGAATGAACATAAAGTATTTGCCCCAGTTAAAAATCCCATGAGTTTTTGCATTTCGTCATGCCCAAATGTCTAAGATCATCAAATCACAAAGTTGATTTGTGTTTATAAAATACTCTAATAACATATTAACATGATAAAACAGAGATGACAGAAAAACAATGTGAAAAACAATTTGTGTGCATTTTTTCCTATATTAGGTGTAAAAAAAATGAGTGACTGGATCCATGAATTCTGCTCTCTACCCATCATTCCTCAGGGAGAAGACCCCACAACGAGTCCTTGATCTTAAGTTCACATGACCTTTAAAAAAGCCAAAGTGATTGTTGTGGAGCGGTCTAGTCAAAGTTCTGTCTCAAAATCTATCAATATCGATATCGATAGAAAATACTTTTCTACAATTTCCCACATGGTGGAAAAACCAGCTGTGTTTATGAGGCAACTTATTTTCACATATGGCCAGGTTTCCTGCTTTCGTATTTATCCTGGTTTTAATTGTCTGATTTTAAAATACATCTAATAATATGAGACTGTTAAGTATGGCAACAAAATGAAAACAGACTAAATATGTAAGGGGTAAAAGATCTTTTCAGGGCTCTGTTCACATCAGGCACTAAACACATTTGAATAACTTCAAATAATTTCCATCAGTTACATATCCACATACAGTTATTATACAGGCATATATGATTTTTATGTATCCATATTCACAGAATTGGCTCATATCAGCAAGTAGGGAGATATATTTATAGTATTTTCTGAAGTATTTTGAATGCTGCAACATACATGACTTGAATTTTAACAAATCACATGCATAGCGAAATCATGGATTTACTTTCTGTTATCCAATTCTTTGAAATATAGATAGTTTGTTTTTTTCCCCTCTCAGCTTTGTGTCTGTATGCGATGCTACAGTTAATTGAAGTGTTTTGCATGAATCCACAGCTCATATCCTCCAAGGTACCGAAGGCTGAGTACGTTCCCAACATCATCCGCAGGGACGACCCCTCCATCATCCCTATCCTATATGTGAGTTTCAACTGTTGATGACAAATATGATATATTTAAAAAATAATCACATAATTGGTGTGAGAACTCTACATCATTGGAAAACAGTGAGTTATTTAAAAATGATCAGTTTACAGTTACTTGATTGTGCTATAAAACGGCACTAAATGCCTGAAAAATACATAGTGAGCCTTAAAAAGTGTTTTGAAAATCTTGAGATGAGGAAAGATTCAAAATAATTTTTATAAAAGTACACTTTAAAGTTGTATATGCTAAAACGAGATGTTAAAGAGTTTTAAATTTTAACGGCATATCTTAATAGTAGTATTAAAGAGTGATGAACACAGCAGGAAAGAAATGTTGAACTTGGTTTTTGTTTAACAGAGAGATTGTCTAAAATCAGTACTGCAGGATCAAAGCGTTACAAAAACCAGAGTCTGAAAATCTCAGATAAATCTGAAAATGAGATTAAAATCAAAGGACTGCATTTCAATGAGACAATTGCAAGCAAAAAACAACAGGAACTCAGCCAATTGTAGAAATTCCTTGTGCTTAAACTTATTATTTATTGAGGAAAAACTGGTCTATCCACTTTTCTTATAGTAATTCATTTTCAGCTGTTTTTTTTTTTTTTGTTTTTTGTTGCCCTTTTTGTAAGTAATTCAAACTTCAAATAATTAATTAAACCTCACTTTTTTCTGTTCTTCAAAAGCATGCCTGGTTGTATTTGTGATCTTTTTTTTTCATTGAACCAACATTTTTAAGTTTACGAGTTGCTTAATTTTCCTTCCTTGCTGAACTCGATAGTAATACGGTGTGAATGTTCTATTTATAGGACCATGAGCACGCCACCTTCGATGACATTCTCGGTAAGCGCTAATCTTTCCCTCTTTGAATAATAATAGTGGTGAGGTGAAAATGGCTCATGTTGTGAAGGTGGGGCTGGAATAAGTTTCAGCTGGCTGGAGTGCAGAGATGACTCATTGTTTTCTTGTGTCTCGTGTTTGTGTGAGTCTCTTGAGGCATGGCCAATTTCTGTTTCTCACCATGAACACTGAGTGGGAAAAGTGACACCTCTCTTTCTCCTTCCCTCCCCAGAAGAGATAGAGAAGAAGCTGACAGCCTACAGGAAGGGCTGCCGGATCTGGAACATGCTTATTTTCTGCCAGGTGAGCGACAGATTGGAGGTATATGCTTCCATAATAAAATTACATCATGTTATACTTTATGGGAAGCCAACCCAGCATGCAGTGTAACCAATACCACATATGTAATTATATTTTCAATTTCAAATCTACATTAAAATATTTAAGCTACGTTTAATTTGTAGGTCAAAATCTACAAAGAAACTTATTTTAGGTACAGTTGCATTTTGATAAGAACAAAAAGTATAGACCAAACATAAACTGTAGAATAGAGAAAAAATAAAATATGTGTATTGCTATGATTATTAAATAAGAACTAAAGTGTTTAGATACTTCACTAATTAAAATGTTTACTTTATCTATCAATCAATCAACCAATCAATCGATCAAGTTTATTTTTACAGCATCTTTAAACAAGGCTTAACATTATAAAAACAAAAAAAATAAAAGTAATAAAAACATCAATGCACATTATATATGTTTAGTTTTGACTTAAATGAATTCAGTTTTTCAGCTGTTTTGCAGTTTTCTGGAAGTTTGTTACCTTCAGTTTAATTAGTGAAGCTAACTTCTTCTAAGTTATCACATCTATGATATGACAATGTCATTCTCCACTACCTTTTAATTTTATACATGTTGCTGCTTGGTGGAGTCATCAGGAAACATGGACTAACGCTGATGACTCTGAGCTACCACCTCACTGTCCTGTGATCACCCCCAGCCAATCAGTGCATTGCATTAAAATGTGCTGCTCGACTAGGACAGAACAGAAGTTTTAGTCATTGGAAGAAGCCTGGTGGTTCTTAGGATTTAAACTCTTGTAATGCCCCACTTTCTGACCTCCATAAGAAAAATCTGTCCAGCCTTCAACTGTTACAAAACTCTGCTGCTCTGCTGCAAATATGTAAAAAAAAAAAAAAAACCTTGTTAATATTTATTCTTCTGCTGATGTCAAACAACAGTAGTAGGTTACATCCAGAACTCTGACGCCAGATGTTTTCATTTGGTAAGTGGCGTGTTTCCTCCTCAGGGGGGTCCAGGACATCTCTACCTGCTGAAGAATAAAGTGGCCACCTTTGCCAAAGTGGAGAAGGAGGAAGACATGGTGCAGTAAGTCATCTTCCCAGCTTCTGATATCACTTACAGGATTAAAACATTCATGGAAGAAAAATATACTGTCAACGTGAACACATTAGCTTAATTTAAAAAGTTTAGCACGTTAATATTGTTACATAATGCAGATCAATCGCATTACATTTTTTGACCTAAACTGATTTTGTTTTTGGTCGCTGGCGTTCAGACTGGTGAGCTGAGTGGAAAATTTCACTTTAAAAAACACAGCAATGGACTTCTGGATAAAACCAATTAAGTACTTATTGTAATGATGAATTATCTTTCCACCAAAACACAGCCAGTTTATTATTAATATTTCTAAATTACGTTTGGAACAAAATAACATCTTTTTTAACCATCCTGAATGTAAAAACCTGGAGAGCTGAGATGTTTGGTTTGAGACTATGAAGGATTTTCTTTAACATTTTTAGGATTATTATTTTACATTTAGGGATTATTCATAGTGCTATATGATTAATCTGAATACATTTATTGATTGACAATCCTACTTAGAATCTTAACATTGTGATGCAGAGAAGAAAATAAAAGTTTGTGTTCACTCAAAGTTAAATATTGTTTCCTCAGAAAAGGGCGAAGTGTCTTATTGTTAGTCATCAGTCACACAGCTGAAGCTCTGGCTTCAGTTTTAGTTTGGTCTATCACACACAACCCCAGAAAAATAAATCTGCAAGAAATTTTGCAAGAAACTGGAAATATTAAAACTGAAGAAGTAAAACCAAGTGTGACGTTTTGCTGGTTTTCATAACGGCCTGCTCCCGTTGTCTTGTCCTGGTCGTGTGATCAGGTTCTGGCGGCGCCTCAGCAGGCTGATGAGCAAACTGAACCCGGAGCCCAACCTGATCCACATCATGGGTTGTTATGTGCTGGGAAGCGCTAATGGAGAGAAGGTGAGTCCGAAGCCAGACGTCCACATCTTGTTCTGCTTCCTCTAAACGTCCACAGAGTGAGACGCTTTCTGCTGCTGTGTAGAGGTCAATCACTGACAGCCTGCAGCTCATGTTGTCCTCGCAAAACAATTTTTTCTACTTGCATGGCAAAAGATTGAAAGTGTTGTTTTTATTATTTTTTTGTTGTTGTTTTTTTTAATAAAATAAAATAAAACAGACAAGTATATAGATTCCAGCATTAACAGCAGCTTGTAGTCCTGCTGTCAGGGTGGAGGGTAGGAGGGTTTGCACACTGTGGGTTCTGAGTGAAGAACAAGTTAACCGGCACCCACAACGCTTCTTAAAGGAGAGGGAGCATCAGCTGCTCCACAGCCGCTATATTAAGCTGCATGCACACGCTCATGCTAGCTCTCGCTTTAATTACATGTTCACACATTTACTTTCACACTCGCGCTCCTTCCGCAACTCTTCCTCCCCCACAGAGACTGACACACTAACCATACAGAGACACTCATAATAACATGCGTCTGAAATATGCCCACCCACCAAAAGTGGTCGTATTTAGACATGCTGCCCCGTCCAGACATGTTACACTGCTGACACTACAGGCTCAAACACATGTTGCTCTTCTGCCACCACCTAGAGTTGTTAATCAGGAGCGATGATGAATAGATGAAGAGTGAAGGCCTCTGGGTGAATAACTGCATGTCTGTGTATGTCTTAGAAATGTTGTGATTGAGCATCTGAGGATGGAGGAAGAAGGAATCAGAAAGTAGAGCTCTGAGCTACTTAACTCATTTCTCAAGCCAGGTTGCTTATTGTTGAAGTAGTCGGCCATTTTACAGAAGAGTTATGAATTCAACACGATGGCATCCAACATGTTTTATGAATTGTGTGATGCTGTGAGAGCTCTGCTGGAGCCAGCTGCACATTATCTGAGAAAAAAACAAAACAAAACAAACCATCGTCCTCCTACCTCTTCCTGTCATCTTCTTCGTCTTTTTCGCCAGCAGTAACATCCGGTTGTTAATCGTGTGAAAAAAGTGTTTCCATTGCAGCAACTCGAAATACATCTATTTCAGCAAAAATCCATCTTAGACTAATTTCATTAACATGAAAGTCCTCTCCACCTTTTTGCTTAATATTGACAGTCATTTTTTTCTTTAAAAACTTCATGATTTGTGGTTTTTTAAGTTTTAAGTTTCATCCCATTCCTATACTTTTTTTTTTTTTTTTTTCCTGGAACTTGCTGTTCATTCTTCTATGCTGGTTTATTCATTTTTCTTTTTGCTTTAGGATTTCATTCTCCTTGTTCAGTGCTATTGTTTTCATTTGGTTGGTAACTTCTCTCATAGGTCAGCTCTCTCTCAGCCTGTCAGTCTGCTCCCCTTCACAGCTGTTATCTATCTCCTTCACTCTCATTCATCTGTCTCCACTTCCCCCTCATTAGTCCTTCTGGTTGCTCTATCAGCTCCACCTCTCCCTCAGTATATAAGTTAACCTGTTCCTATTCTTCTTCATTGGCTCCTCCCATTATTAATTCCATCTTCATGCCTATTTATTTCCCCATTGTTCATTGATCTTCCTGTTCTCGATCTTCACTTCATGTCCTGTTGTCCCTGTGATCAACGTTGTGAGTGTCCTTTTGTCTGTTCCTGTTAAAGAAGTCTCTTCTCTTTTCTTCTCTGCTTGGATCCACTAAAGTTAGATCCTGCACTTTAATCAAAGTCCTTTGTGTGTTCAACTTGTTCAGACTGTCTGCAAAGAATGTAGGGCAGCCGCTCACCGCTCTTGCAGTCAGTGTGACATTTAGCATTTCCTCCGCTGTGGTTTGGAACAAGTTGCGCAAGCAGGGCCACGGACAGGGAAGGGCTTATTCGCTGCATTTAACAATTTGTCCCCCCGCTGCTGCCTGTGTGTGTTCCTGGAGCCTCAGCTGGAGTGTTGCTAAGAATAGACGGACTGGCTGGGCTACCTGCAGAAGGTACCGCATTATGTGTCGGTTCTACTCCAGTGTCAGGCTAAAGGATTCAGACTTAGATGTTGTGATGAAATAAAAATCACACACACGCTCGGCGCTTCCGTTGCAAAGACAAGACGAGGAATTTTTAGAGAGCAACATGATGACATCTGATAAACACCGGCTCGGAAGGTCAAGAATGCACCTTACCATAATGATTGCAATCAATTCAAGCATGGACGAACCTCTGAAACCTCTGAAAGTGGCCCATAATATCAGATATTATCAAGAAATTCTTTGAATAAAGCTGGAGTCAGTCTTGTTCTGGGATTTCCTGCTGCTCCTCTCTGACCTCTCCCTCCCCAGACCATTGTTACTGGAACATCCCCCTCCTCCCAACACGTCTTGACATTTAGGTGCCAGTCTATGTCTGACCCCTGTCAACGTCTCTCATGTCTCACACCTGCCCATTTATCAGCAGAGGTTGACATCTGTGGAGATAATCGATGCCAGCTGTTGTAGCTGTCAGGGTTCATTTATTAGATTTTTATGTGTTAGAGGTGTAGTGAATCTTAGAGGAAACAAACTTTCTGAACAAATGACACAATCATGTAGAAACCTTGAATAATTAAATCACTCCGTAAGAACAACACAAAATTTAGCATTCAGCCTACCTGAATAAAAGTAACACATTAAGTTTATTAAAAAAAAAAAACAGCATTCATACCTACATTTATTAACTTGTATTTTTGTTTCATTGCACCAAAAACATGCCAAGAAAATCAAGATTCAAAAGGGGGAAAGGCAAAAAAAAAAAAAAAAAAAAAAAAAAAAATTTTCACCCCAGCAG